TAACTTCCCAGTACTTAATTTAATTAGATAAAAATGGGGGAGTGACTTTATGTGAGCCTCCCAGGTGATCTGTATCAGAAATGTCCCCTGCATTCTTGAAAATAATATGCATTCTCCATTTGTTACCTGTAAGGTTCTCTGTCACTTCAAATTTAGCAACTGCTCTGTCACATCTGAATTCTCACAAATTTTGTGTTTTTTTTATGTGTTTCACATTATGATCACAGGAGACTTAACTGTGTATTTGTCTCTGTAATTTGGCTAATTCTGCTTTGTATAGGGAAAGTTTTATTATTAGGTGCATGCACACTTGGATGCATGCCTTGTTTTTGTCCAGTTTCCCAAGCTTTCAGGAGTTTGTATAATTTCTCCAAAATTTTTCCAGTAATTTTTGTAGATCTTTTACTATGACTGAAAAGTCTTAACATCCTTTGAAGGGCCAGTAGAAGCATTAGCAGTTAATTTCAAACGTTTTGGCATCTGAAAAAGCACTTTGTGGATTCTATACACTGAGCTGGTGCAGGTGCAGTAGGAGAGGGCACAGATTTGCATCACCCAGGCCACTTCCCACCTGGAGCCCAGCAGAGGATGTGCGCTTCTCAGGGATGGTTCCCATATCCTGGGCGGAGGCAGGAAGCCTAAGCCAACCAGACTAAACATTTTTCTTTCATGGCAGCTGCTGGCTTATTGCTTTGATGCCTGAGAAGAGAGGATCTTCTGGTGATAAGAAAGCTTCTTGTAACCAGGTGCTGGTGGCTCACACCTGTAATCCTAGCTGCTTAGGAGGCTGAGATCTAAGGACCATGGTTCAAAGCCAGCCTGGGCAGGAAAGTCCATGAGACTCTTATCTCCAATAACTCACTAGAAAACCAGAAGTGGTGCGCTTGCCTTGAGCTGAAGAGCTCAGGAACAGCACCCAAGCCCAAAGTTCAAGCCCCACGACTGGGGAAAAAAAAAAAAAAAAGCTTCATGTGAATATCCATACTAACTGTATCTGGTGGGCTCAGAATCCTAGAATGTTATGTTTTTAGTACAAATTTGGGATCCGTGCATGCTGGTGAGACCAAGACTTGCCTGCCAGCTAATCCTGGCCTTCCTACTTGCTCTTTTTTCCAGTATACACTTCCTAAAGATTATGTTAAGCTTTCCTTCTAATCAGGAAGCTGAACAATACAAATATCAGATCCTCAGAAACCTGAACATGTGGCTGGAGTGGAGAGCAAAACCTTAGTCAGGTAGAATCCATGATTGGAGGCTCAGGAAGTCTTTGTAGGAGAGGTCAAACTTTAGGCCTTCATAAATGATGGAAAGGAATTATTCTTGCAGATTGGGAGTTCTCAGTAGATTATGTGATTATCAGCTCTAAATGAGGTGTCAAATTCTAAACAAAAGAAAACTGCCCTAACCAAGCCAGTCAGGGTGGCTCACATCTATAATCCTAGCTACTCAGTAGGTTGAGATCTGAGGATCATGGTTCAAAGCCAGCCCAGGCAGACTCTTATCACCAGTTAACCAGCAAAATGCCAAAACTGGAGGTGTAGCTCAAATGGTAGAATGCCAATCTTAAGTGAAATACCCATGCAAGAGTGCAAGGCCCTAAGCTCAAGCCCTAGTACTGACTCCAAAAGTAAAAACCCAGAAAAAGGAAAAAAAGAAAGCTACAACTACTGTGTAAGACTAGATGCTTGCTCTAATTCTATAACTTCTTACTATAAGTGACTATGTAATTTTTATTACCCTAGAGGTATTAAGAACTCCTCTGGACTTCCCATACTGGAAACATTTTAAGGGCACAGGAGTGAAAATGAAGGTGATTTCTGTGCTTATCCCCCAATGTATTCCACATGTACAAAAAACCTGTTGCACTGACTTAACAGGGCAATTTGCCTGATTAGGTTTTGTTTGTGTGTTAATGGTTTCCATACCAAACTTGGGATAGAGCCAGAGTACTTAGGGCTTCAAGGGCTTCAAGGGCTGCCAAAACTCACCAGAATGTCATCAGGCTTCCCTCTTCTGGCTTTACCTTCTGCAGAGGAGCTTTCTTCATAACTGGCAACATGATACCAGCAACTGATAGATGCACATCTTCAGCTTTGCTAGGTAAAAGTGACTAACTGGGCCCCTCAGTTCCTGATGGCAAAATCCAAGGGGAAGGAGAATGGGGGCAGGGCTTGCTTGCAGCAGTTTTTCTCTCTGGATCTCAGATGTTGAGGAGAGAGGTTAGTGAAAATGATGAGTCCCCGTGACAGACATGGTTAGAAGGAGCAGTTTTTCTCTGTAAGTACATAGATGCCTGACCCAAGAAAAAGGTCTGGTTTCTTTCCTCTTCCCCTCTTTCCCTCTTCCCCTAGTTGCTAGCTGCTTTCCTGACCTCTGGGATAGCTAGAATGGAGAGAAAGAACCAGAGCACTCTCTGGATCTGACACATGTTTAAAGCTAACTCTTGGAGGGAGTGCTTGTAGGTATTTTGCAGACCCTGCTCATCTTGGGGACTTTGCCTCAGTCTTGCTGCTCATTACCATAGCTCATAGGAGTCCAGGTGTCTGTTTCTAGCAGCTTGTTAGGACTTGTTAGCCCACTGGGTGGATGTTTTGGGAAGTTCCTAAGATAGCTCTACCCTAGCCCACTCATGCTTTTTTTTTTTTTTTGTCAGTCATGGGGGCTGAACCCTGGGCTTGGGCGCTGTCCCTCAGCTCTTCAGCTCAAGACTAGCGCCCTACCACTTGAGCCACAGCACCATTTCTGGCTTTTTTCTGCTTAAGTGGTACTGAGGAATTGAACCCAGGGCCTCATGCATGTGAGGCAAGCACTCTACCACTGAGCCAACTTCTCAGCCCCTCTTTTTTTTTGTTGTTGTTGTTGGTCGTGGTGCTTGAACTCTGGGCCTGGGTGCTGTCCCTCAGCTCCTCAGCTCAAGGGTAGTGTTCTACCATTTGAGCCACAGTGCCACTTCCGGTTTTCTGAGTAGTTTACTGGAGATAAGAGTCTCATGGAGTTTCCTGCTTGGGCTGGCTTTGAACCGCGATCCTCAGATCTCAGCTTCCTGAGTAGCTAGTCATGCATCTCTTTCTGCAGCAGATTATGGGAATACTGGCCTGCCCCCACGCAACTCTCTACTACAACTAGCCAGTCCATCTCACTATGTCCTTAGATTTGTCAAGTAAGAGACAATCTTGCTAAATTGTCCAGCCTGGGCTTATTTACTGTCTTTCTGGCTCAGCCTCCTGAGTAACTGGAATTATGGGCACATACTACCATGCCTGGCCAGAGTTTGTGTTTAATACAGTTACAATAAGTGATATGATGTGCTACAAAGGGAATTCTATTCTTCCCTGAAGCAGTTGTGTTCTTGCTTGACTTCAGATGTTTGAGTTTACAAGGGGGAGTGCCTTCACAGGCATCTCTGAAAGGCATCTACCAGAGCATGGGAGCATTGTATGTGCTTCAGATTGAGGAATAGCAGTCACCCCAAGGTTGTCACTATGTGGAACAAGTGACACATATCTGGCAAGTTGATAAGGTTTCCTTTCCATGGGAGGACAAAATAAGAATGTTGAAAGAGTATTAAACTTTAAAAATTTTTTACAGATTGTGGTTTTTGTTTGTTTTCATTGAAGACCTTTTTTTTAAAAAATCCTTGGTTTGTTAAGGCGAGTCTCCTCTGTTTGAGTCAGAGCAAATCAGGATTATGTGAAGAGAACATCACTTGCCCAAGGAAATTCTATTGGGAAGCAAGTGAATTTGTTATGTGTCCTAGTTGGTGTCTTCAATGTTTAAAAAGTATAATCTTTTCGCACTGTGGCTCAGCTGATTGTGGAAGCCAGCAGTCTGGCTTATTGACCTTGCAGAATGACTCCCATGCAGTACTTGGCAGCAGGCATAACTTCCCTCTCTTGGCCATTCATTACTTACTAAAGACAGAGTTCCTCGAAAGCTGCTTCCCAGCCTTTTCCATCCAACTTTTCATCTTGATATTGTGTTTTATCCTCAGAGTGAGTCAGACAACTGCAATCACAGGCTACCTTATTTTCTCCCTCCCTCCTCTTCCCCCCTCTTTCTTTTTCTCTGTCTGTCTCTGTCTCTGTCTGTCTCTGTCTCTCTGTCACACACACAGACACACACACACACATACACACACACACACACACACACACACACACATCGTTACATATAAGAAATAGTCCCCAGAAGTGGCGCTGTTGCTCAGATGGTAGAGTGCTAGTCTTAAAGCTGAAGAGTGAGGGACAGTGCTCAGGCCCAGAGTTCAAGCCCCACAACCGACAAAAAAACAAACAAAAAGAAATAGTTCCATGGCACTTCCATCATTTTCCTTATGCAAAGTGTTTTAGAAGACACAAGAAATTTCCTTCCAGCAAGATAGTTGTGATTCTCATGGTTTGTTTTGTGGATGCCATGAACCATGCAATAGTCCTTTGCACTTGGTTTTTGCTGTGGGAAATCTTGAGGACAGATCTTTAATCCTGAAGCAAGCACATGGGACAAAGGTTATTCACCTTTGGTGATTATTGGAGATTTCCTCTTCTTAAAATCAGATATATCAGTTCTCAGTGATGAGCATGGAAAAAACTGCTATTGTGACCTGAGGACCCATTGGTTGTTACATCTTCATCCCATAGTTACCCTGGCTCATCCAGCAGCCATTGTGCTTAGAAGAAGCAGAGATTGCTTCTGTTCTCTTCTTTCTCCAGGATCTTTTTCATCATTTACCAATTTTTAGTTTCAATTATTACATTTATGCAGCAAGGAAATGCTAGACCTGGGTAGCCTAGAAAGCTTGAAAAATACTCTTTTCATTTATCCTGGTTATTCACAAAATAGGTGTTCAGCATATGTTTTGTTTTTTACATATTTAGTTCTGTTATTTGAAGCAGTTGAATTAGATTCTTTCCTAAGGGCTCTCTATCGGTCTAGGTTTGGGAAATGTAACCTGTTACAGCAGTGGCTTGACTTCAGTGACATTTTGTGCTTTTCTTTTTCAGAGTATGATCGGTTGGGCTTCCTCCTAAAGTTGGACTCTAAACTGTGAGTAGAATGAGAAAATGGCACTGTGATAGTCTGTGCATGCTGGGGTCTAACTTTGAAGGGTAACCTCGCTCCCCCCTGTGGTGGTTAGAGGATTCCCTGGAGCTTCTGACTGCGGGTTGTCAACAGAATGTTGGTGCGTGCTATAATCCACTGGGGTGGGTACAAATACAAGCTTTACATTTGCCTCACTAATGAGGTGGCTCATTAGTGAAGGAGGCCACTGCCAAGAGTGGAGGGACAGAGAAGCCCCTGGAAAAGCTCCTAGAGTAGATGGCAGTTGAATTACAAAGTTGTAACTCAAAGTTGGTATGGTTACTCTCCTGTTTTCTCCAGCTTCAACTTGTGTCATTCATGCCACAGATCAACCCTTCTTTCCCTTTCTTTCTGTAGGTCCTGTTACTTGTGCCTGGAATTTCCTTTCCTTGTTAGTCTACTTAGAAAACAAATTTCATTTCTTCCTATATAAAATCAATTATCTCTTTCTCTATGTTTCCTTTGCACTTTCTATTTCTGTTACCAATCATCTTTCTATACTATAATTAACTTGTTATGATTATTAATTTATTAGTGGCACAGACTCAGAGCCAGTCAGATTAGTTTAAATCCCAGGTTACTAGCTGGGTGTTGATGGCTCATACCTGTAATCCTAGCTACTCAGGAGGTTGAGGTCTGTGGTTGTCTGTGAGACTCTTATCTCCAATTAATCACCAGAAAACTGGAAGTGGCACTGTGGCTCAAAGTGGTAGAGTGCTACCCTTGAATGGAAAAAATTCAGGGACAACACTTAGGCCCTAGTTCAAGCCCTAAGACTGACAAAAACAAAACAAAACAACAACAACAAAAATCCTAGGTTACCATTTATTCTCTTTGTGATTTTGAGCAAGCTACTGAATCACTTTGAATCTGTTTCATTTGTAAGATATGACAACAATATACAGGCCCTGGTTGTGGGGCCTGAACTCTGGGCCTTGACGCTGTTCCTCAGCTCTTCAGCTCAAGGCTAGCTCTCTACCACTTGAGCCACAGCGCCACTTCCAGTTTTTTTCTTTTTTGCTTATGTGCTGCTGAGGAATCGAACCCAGGGCCTCATGCATGCAAGGCAAGCACTCTACCATTGAGCCACAGCGCCACTTCTGGTTTTCTAGTGGTTTATTGGAGATAAGAGTCTCACAGAAAAAGAAAAAAAAAAACAGTATTATAAGAAAACCATGAAGAAAAAAAAAGTCTCACAGAGTTTCCTGCCCAGGCTGGCTTTGAACTGCGATCCTCAGATCTCAGCCTCCTGAGTAGCTAGGATTATAGGCATGAGCCACTGGCACCCGGCTAATCCTCCAAGATTCTTTCTTGTTCTAGCCTTCTTGGTCTTTCTAGAGGATAGGATAGTACAGGTAAAAACATCTTTGTAAGCTAAGTCAGTATACCTGTCCTTGGATAGATGGATGGATGATAGGTAGATAGCTGTGAACTTCACCATTTGGCCAGCATGCTTTGCATGGTAGTTATGTCTGTTCTATATGTTCAAACCCTACACAAGGCTACTCATGGTTAGTGTTCAATAAATGCTTGTAAAACTCTGCTACCACCTCCTATAACTTATTTCTGGATGAAGTCATCGTTATGTACTTAAGTCCCTTATCCTGATCAAGACAGATATAATGGAAAATCAGAATTGCATTTCCTTTCTTCTCTTGCATAAGGTCTTATCCATAGCTACCTTAGATGGTGTTGGTAATAACTACATAAAAGCATCAAACCAGGAGCTGTTGGGTTTTAATGAATCATCTGGTATCTGTCTCCTTTTCTTAGAATCTGGTACCTCAGACTATGAGTTTAGACATGGTAACTCTCCCAGCTTTGATTCATCATGGAGTCAGCTAGACAAGAAGAATGGTCTATTCTCTTTAGAAGGCTAGAGAATAGATGTCAGCCACATGTTACCATCTAGGGAACAAGGCATGATTATACTAGAAAACTTCAGACTTCACTCTTAGAAAAGTCTTAATTTAGTGCTCTAGGATAAAACGATAATACATGAAGTATGAACGATAATACGTGAAATGCCACCAGAACACAAAAGCTGTAGTAATTACTAAGCTTAATCACATTGATGAACAAAGAACATGTTATTGAGGACATGCTAACTACAGTATTTAAGCTGTCTTCAGAAATGAGGGAAGACAGGAGGATGTGCCTGATCTGCTGTCCTGATGGGTGAGTTCTGTAAAGGCTGGTGTGTAATTTGCGCTGGGTTCCAGACTGGTTCCATGAACCATCTAAGTCAGCTTGGTCTTTGGCCAAGTTGTTGGCTTGCCCCATTTCATTTAACCCACAGTCTGAAGTACAAACTAGAACTTTCTTGCCTCTTGCCGCAAAGGCTTTTCCACTACAGTAGGTGAAACTTCTTCCAGGAAGAAGTTTCCAAATTAAAGTTTTGCTTTGAAGAGCAATTCCTCAGCAAAATGTTGCTGTCTCATTGCAGGTCTTTCTCTATGTTTCATTCGTTTCTAATGTATAGGAAAGGACCTAAACTTGGATGAGATAAATTAGATTTGAATTCTGCAGCTTAGTATTAAGTGACCTTAGTACTACATTTTAGCTTTCTGAGTCCTAATTTTCCTTTGTGGAAAATATAATTAACTTTCACTTCCTGTAGTTTTATGAGGAATTATTTTTAAAGATTATATAAATTATGTGTAAGTGGCTGAGTGGTAACTCACACCTGAAATCCTTGCTACTCAGAAGAAACAAATCAGGAGGATCATGGCTTAACACTACGCAAAAATTTTTCAAGACTACATCTCAATCGATAGCTGAGTCTAGTGGTGCACATCTGTCATCCTAGCTATACATGAGGCTGAGGTTGGTAGGATTGTGGTTCCAGGCCAGCCAGAGCAAAAAGTTTATAATTCTTCTTGTCAACAGCAAAACCTAGTTATAGTAGTGTATACCTGTCATCTCAGATATGATAGGAAAGTATAAACAATAGACTTGTCTAGGCAAGTCCAGGCAAAAAGTGAGATTTTTGTCTCAAAAATAATTAGAGCAAAAAGGACTAGAGGTGTGTCTCAAGCTACAGAATGCCTACCTGGCAATCACAAAGCCCTGAGCTCAGATCTCAACACCTCCAAAGAAAATTATGAGTAGGTATACAAATGTATGGGTATTTTTTCAAAAAACTTATCTTTGTTGGGGTTTATTAGTCTGCAGTATAAAAATTTATATGTTCTGGAATTTTTTCAGCCATTTTGTTCTTTAAAAATCGCTGTGCCCCCTCTCTCTACTCATCTATAGCTCTAGTACTTTTCTAAAACTGATCAAATGTTGACCCTCTCCTTTTAGCCTCTGGATCTGTTGCTTCCATGTTTGCTGCCTTTGACCCTTTCCACACTGTAATCCTGAAAAGACTCACAATAAGGAAAACTAGATCAAAACCTGCGCTCACCCCAGCCAGAATACAGGAAAGATGACCATAACTCCCAGTGGATTAGGGTAAAAGTCAGCAAAACAAAAGCATTTGATATTTGTTGCCGGGATTCTCATTCAGGTGATCTAGGGACTCCCAAGCCCCTGAGCTCAGTATATATTGTTTTAGACTAGGCAGTGCCTCCTGGCAAAAGCAAAACATCTCCACACTGTAATCCCTCTGTATATCACCTTTATAATAACAATAAAAAAATTTTAAGAAAGATATGGATTTCTCACAGGTAACATTTCAAGGAAGCTAGCACTTGGAGTAAAAACAAACAAACAAACAAAACTCAATACACAAGGAAGCAAACTTCCTTAGTGAGAACCATGAAAAACAATAGACAACAAAGGAGAACTCTGAAAGATTTCTCATATTAGAATTACCAACCACAGTTTATAGAAATAAAAGTTTAAAGAAATAGGGCCTGGGAAGGTGGCTCAGTGGTAGAGCGCTTGCCTTACATGCATGAGGCCCTGGGTTCGATTCCTCAGCACCACATAAGCAAAAAGAAAAAAGCCGGAAGTGGTGCTGTGGCTCAAGTGGTAGAGCGCTAGTCTTGAGCTGAAGAGCTGAGGGACAGCGCCCAGGCCAAGTTCAGGCCCCACTCCCAGACCCAAAAAATAAATAAATACATAAAAGACAAGAGTGAATTTTATACATAGGATTGGGAAGTATAGTTTAGTGTGGTAGCTCATGCCTATAATCACAGATCTTCAAGAGTCAGAAATTGAGAGGATTGCAATTGGAAGCCAGCCTAGCCAAAGTTAGTGAGACCTAGTCTCACATCTGAGGCTTGAACTCAGGGCCTCCCAGTCTTCCTTGGCTTTTTTGTTCATAGCTGGCACTCTACCACTTGAGCCATGCCTTTAACTCCTTGTCATCTTTTTTATTTTTTATGCTAGTACTAGAGTTTGAACTCAGAACTCATACTTATTTGGATTGCTTGCTCACTGGTACTTTATCCCCCCGAGGCACTCTTCTAGCACAGCTTTTTGCTAGTTATTTTGGAGATGGAGTCTTTCAGACTATTCTTCCTGGGCTGGCTTCAAAGTGCCATTCTAAAGTCTCAGCCTCCTGGGGCTGGGAAGGTGGCTCAGTGGTAGAGCACTTGCCTTGCATGCTCGAGGCCCTGGGTTCGATTCCTCACACCACATAAGCAAAAAGGAAAAAGCCAGAAGTGGCGCTGTTGCTCAGATGGTAGAGTGCTAG